CTTCATTCAGTTGAAAACGATCCTATTCCTTAGTTGAATAATCGCTTCTCGGTAGACCCACATATTTCTGCCACAGTTTCTAGTAAAGATTATAGCTATAAGACTATTAAATGCTAAACAAGAGAAAACATGTTAAAATTACAATCTGAAATTTTGCTAAATATGTAACGGGTTGAACCCGATGTGGGCCAGGTATGGCATACCGTGGCCGGGCTTATTAAGGAAGGCGGGGAAGAACAGCAGAAAACCTCTATTAGGGACGGACTGAAGCTGTGCCTCCCTTCTGTTCTTCAAGCTATTGTAAACAGTTTGTGGCCTAGCTACTATAGACTCATATACTAGCTTTAGCCCTTCACAAAATAAGCTGAATTATGTATGCCAAGTCTCAGATTTGTGCAGAATATGAGTTTTTTTTTGGATCCATAGGTACCCATCAAAAACCCATAGGCACCCATCGGGATGGGTCGACCATTTAAAAAAAAACCCATAACCCATATGGGTTTGGCGATGGGTCCAACATTTGGACCCATCGATGGGTTTTGCCGAAGTCTAGTTCCAGCATGCAACACGTATCGTAATGATAAAATATACCTGGGAAATCTTGGCGGACGGCTTCCGGTGGGCCACTTAGTCAGCAGCGCTAACGTAGTTAATCAGTAAGCGAACCGGCCATGTAAGCGAGCCGGCCGGCTTGGTAGCCCGCAAACATGCTTATGTTTGAATTTCGATTTACATAAAAAAAAATATAGCTTTTCAGGCCTATATAGATTCGTTTTGAAGCCCGAAATCAGGTATTTCGATTCGGGCACCTTGTTCGTATGTGTCCTACAACGTAACACATACTGCAGCGAGGCGGCGCGCGTCGGCGTGGCTGATCATCCCTAGGCCCTGTATCACTGGCTGCTTCCTCTAAAGATTGGACGTGTACGAAGGCCTCGCGTCCTTCCTGAATGGTGAAGCCATCCAGGCCGTTCATCTGATGTTGATTCCGCTGTTCTTTCTTCCTTCGTCGTTCAACAGCTTCACGAAGTTGGGAGTTCTCTTGTTCCAAAATAACGACTCGGTTCAAGGCTATCTCAGCGCCTTTAAAGATATATGATAAGGCAGTTTGCATAAGCGAGACCAGAGGATCTGTTTCTTGAAGCAATTGAGTGATCTTTGACTCGTGACTTCTGAATTGCTTCAAATTCTTAGGTATTTTGGTGACAGTTGAAGTTGTTCCTTGGCTGCTTGGCCGGCTTTCCTCCCCGTAGAAGATGAGATTATCCAGGACCTTGCTTGGATTAAAAGGAACGATTCCGGCAGCTTTGAAGGCACTTTGGATGTTCGTCTTCTTAAAGGCTTGAACGTGGGCTTCCGGATAGATGTCAAGAAAGTCAACTTTCTCAATATGATAATATCCAGTTCGTATAAGTTGTTCAAGGAGGCCGCTATACGCCTGCTTTAATGGCGAGAAGCAGGCTACGTCCAACGACTGGCAGAGATGGGAAGAATTGGCAGGCATACACACTGGAATAACGTTGTTCTCTCGGCATATATCATCAAACTGAGGCGTTAAATGGGAGTCATGCCCGTCAAGGATCAAGAGGCTATATTGGCCAGTTCTCCGGTCCTTGGTATAAGGAATAAAGTGTTTTTTTAAGCTAGTGTTCCCCGATTTCCCGATTAGTCCAGCCGTTTGGCGATATCGCGATACGCTACGAAGAAGGCAGACTGCCTTCATACCATGCCTGAATATGCGTCTTCGCCTTTAACACCAAATACGTGGGTAACGCCCAGCCGGCGGCATTAATACACTCGATTGAAGTTACCCATTCGCGATTGCCTGGCTGTATAAAGAACGGTCTTCCTTCGCAAGAAGAACGCGTAACAACTTTAGCTGAAGCTACCAAGCCCATAGCGAAGCCGGTTTTATCAAAGTTGTAGATATCTTCATCTGCAATTCCATATGTGGCAACGGTAGCTTGAACGCGTTAAAACCAGGTCTGTATAACCTCAGGATTCTCACATTTTGCCCGTTTATAGCTAATTTGGCGAGTAAACCGACTCTTCAAGGAATCATGCCGAGAAATGAAGTTATATACCCATTTATCGCCTACAGAGCAAGTTCTACCTTGACCACGTTTCTGCAGCAAGATTGTAGCTATATGACGGACTTGAAAGTGCCTTGGCACCGCGCCACGTTGATCAAGCGAATGAATCCATTTAACAAGTGAATCCTCTTCCAAAGGAGTCAATTTATGGGAATTAGCGCGTGTTTCCTTGCGAAATGTGATTCCATTGAGGCGTTCTTGCAGTGTTGACCGAGGAACTTGAAAAACACGCGGGGCTTCACGAATTGACGAAATTTGATGTTTCTGAATAGCCTCAACTGCCAAGCAGAGCCTGCCTTCTTGTTCCACCAAGACTTTTGACGATTTAGGCATTTTTGGTGGAGAAATTGATGTTTGAATAGCCTTATCTCCAATGGGTGGGCGATTCTTGTTGGGGTGGCCGGCTCGCTTACGTGGCCGGTTCGCTTACCGATTACGTTACGATGCTCGACAGGTCCTCGCAGATTTCTCCCCCCGCAACGCTCGCATCTTCAGCACTTCTCCAGCAACCCCGGCTTGGCTTACTTGGCTCCTTTCTTGGCGATTCCTCTTCTCTATGATTTACGCATACTTGGCTCTGGACTTCCAAGTTACGATTCGATAGCATTCGCTTGTCGCTCTGCCATTCCCCTTTTCGTGGCAAGTCTTGAGATAAAGAAACCCGATCTCATCTGACTCATATCTATCGGAAAAACCGCCTAAACCAATCGCAGTCAATAGCTCCAAAGATTCCGCGAGTACCTTGCCGGGTAAGGAGCAAGATGCCGACCCTCGCATTGATCAATTTCAACATTGTCTGTGCGACGCTTGGAGGCTTTGTCTCTCTCTTCGGGCTGGTCTCCTACCTGTGCAAAGAGCGATTTTATCTCTCTGAAGCTTGTAAGTTAGCGGGAACGCTATGTACAGTACCAACAGGGCTAATGCAAAAACAGTGATTTCGTTACTTGCGGGAGTTGCTTTCTCACCCCATGCGGCTAATTTTATAAGACCTGATGACTATGCTCTGCACTCGCAAGAAAACTTGGACGCCATCACCTTGCATTTCACCCGCTTGGTTCTCGGTGTGCAACTGGTCCTAGCTGGGGTGCAGTTGCCCAAGCGCTACCTTCAGATCGAATGGCAAAGCTTATCACTGCTGCTGGGCCCGGGTATGGTTGCCATGTGGATGTGCAGCAGCCTGATTGTTTGGGCTATGATTCCGAATTTCAAGTTCCTCCATGCCCTGGTTGTAGGCGCCTGTGTGACGCCTACAGACCCCGTCTTGTCCAATTCAATTGTCAAGGGTAAATTTGCTGACAAGCATGTTCCCCGTCCGCTACAGCATATCATCGTGGCCGAGTCGGGTGCTAATGATGGTCTCGGATACCCTTTCCTGTTCTTTGGCATTTACCTGTTGAAATATCTAGGCATGAATGGCGAGGGATATAGTGGCGGCGCAGGAAAGGCTATGGAATTGTGGTTCTATGAGACTTGGGTGTACACCATCATCCTAAGTGTTGTTTATGGCATCGTCACTGGCTGGATTTCAAGGAAGCTGCTTCACTGGGCCGAGGAAAAGCACTACGTTGACCGGGAAAGCTTTCTGGTTTTTGCAATTGCTCTTGCAGTGGGTTTTCTTCCACCCAAATATGAAACTATTTACCGATATCTCTAGCTCTTCATCGTGGGAACCTGCGGTCTTATTGGGACTGACGACCTCCTTGCATGCTTCGTCGCTGGAAATGTTTTCACACAGGAGTGAGTCATCTCGAAAAAGAAAATCGCAATATCTAAGTACTGACTTTTTAGTGACTGGTTCCGGCTCGAGACCATGGACGACTCGCTCCAACCTACTATCGATATGCTACTCAACTTAGCTGTCTTTATGTGGTTTGGTGCAGTTTGTCCTTGGTCATCCTTCTTGGACAACAACATCATCCCTATTTACCGCCTGATATTCCTGGGGGTTCTCATTCTCATCGTTCGCCGGTTGCCAGCTGTGCTTGCGATGCACAAGTACATCCATCAGATTGAGCAATTTAGACAGGCTTGTTTTGTTGGATTCTTTGGCCCCATTGGCGTTGGAGCAATTTTCTATCTTTCGATCAGTCGGGAGTTTCTATTTGAGATCACAGTCGATAACAAAGTCAGAGAGGATGCTCAAGAAGTTGCGGACGCTGCCAACATTGTGGTGTGGTTCTTGGTCATCTGCAGCATTGTCGTGCATGGACTGTCTGTACCAATTGGTAAGGCCGGCTACCATCTGCCGCGAACTATCTCGAGTTTCATCAGCACAAGCATCAATGAACCCGAACCAGTGCCCATTTCGAACTCACTCCATACCCACAGCACTGCGATGCCTTTTTCTAGTCATAGCTTCCGGAATCGCAAGCGTGGCAAGCGCTCGACCATGCCAAATCTACCGTCGTTCCGTATCGGTCGCTCAGCCGTTCCTCCCGCGAACGAGCAACAGCCTGGTTCTGAGCATACTGATGAGCCAGATCGGCCTGTCAATCTAGCTGTCCATGAATTTCCCGCATCCCCGGCACTTTCAAATGAAGAATTCGGGGTCCCGAATGGTTTTGAGGCTCGTGCTACCTGATATTACTCATGATAATTAACTGGTTCAGCAAGAGAGTTACCATTGCCAGATCGCCATTTCCAACGGCGACATGCAAGAACGTTCGTCCAGCATACGACATGTCATTCATATCAGCTCCTTGATCAAGATTTTGCCATTTCCAGGCTCCTCGTCAGATGAAGAACTTATTTGACCAGGCAAATGTCCTTCTCTGGGTAGCCCACTGGGGTATAATATGAAACAAATACTTTGATATTTCTAATCCCGAAATGAAAATATATTCTTCCTTAAGACTAGAAACTGTAGCACCCGAATGATTCGAAGTCGTAGTCACGGGGGTATCAGGCCGAGTACTCGGCCTACCGGGATACAATTCGCATTCCGAAGGCCTGTTGTTACAATCTATTTTAGGAGTTTATCGCCATTGAAAAATTCAGATAAGTCTTTAGAAATCAATGATCGCTCAACGATGCTTGAACCTCACCCCTATTCCTCTCATCTTCTGAAAGCTCGCCTGGGAGAAAAATAGCACGATCAAGCTTGTAAGGCAATCCACGATGACGACCTCTGATCATCATCACACAGATAACAAGCTTGCTGAAAACTGTGAACTTCCCGGAAAGAGATGTTGATACGGTCGGGTAGCCAAGACTGAGTCCCACGTTGCCACTACAGATAAGTTAGTTGGGGTGGAACGAGAAGTCGTAGATTGAGTGTGATACTCACTATGCTGAAACGACCTCGAAAAATACGGAGAACACGGAAAAAGCCTAGAGTCATTAGTTCTGCCATCACCCAGTTGGTTACTGCCCACTCACCGGAATCGATGTATCCGCAATTTTGCCGGCCTCAGCAATGCAGATGCAAAAACTTCCGAGGAAGATGTACCACAAATCGAAGCTCAATTGGTTCTGGATGTGGTTGATGATGTACGACCGACCATCACTTTCGTTCATGCTCCTCTCAGAGCCGTAAATTCCCAGCGTCTTTTCTTCATAGACATTGGAAGCTCTGATACTAATTGCGATTGGAAAAATCGCAATATACATCATGACGACCAAGCTGAACTGCACAGCCGGGCTGACATCAGCCAAGTTAAAAGTCGATGTTCCTGTATGGCGTGCTGATGCGGCTTGGAAAATAGCAGCGAGGACGCGCGGGCCGGGTGCCAGATTGTTCACAGCCGGGTTATTAAGGTCCAGCACGATGATGAGAAGGACATCAACCGAGTTCATGACGAGTAGGATTCCGAAGAGTATCCACGTTGGCTTGCTCGGGAATAGTAGGGTGTAGCATCGTCGAGGGTGAGCCAGCAAAAAGCTAAGTGGATCTTTGAGCGATGACTTCTCCGGGCAAACCTTGTACATGACCCAGATGATCAGTCGGAGCAAGCATGGGTAGCAGGTGTTGCCAGCAAATGCAAGGAAACTCATAAGGAGCATTGGAAACGTCGCATCCTGGAAGGAGATCATCGAATCCGGTGTCAAGGTAAAACCAAGGTTGTCGATCATGGTTTGAGAAGAGTAGAAACCCCTGTCACATAACGAAAATAAGCTGCTCTGTTACCATCACGGGCACGAGATTAACTTACCACCAAACGCTGCCCTGGCCACATTCAGCAAGATAGTCACGATATTTCGGATCGGCATGCAGAATCCATCCTACAAGACAGATCGCACCGAAAAGATGCAGGCCGAAGAAGTATCCCGTGACAATCTTCAGCAGAAGCTTCAAACTCCGATATTCAATGCCCCCGAGCCTTTCCCTGTCTTCAGTGGAGAGGTTGTGGAACTGAGAGTTCCGGCCGACCGTAGCTTGGGACGAGACTTTTGGTAGATCAAGCTGCTTCATATTATTCTGTGGCCCTGTGTGGCCCTTTCCTTCATAGCCAGGAGAGTTTCCTAGAACGAACACAGAGGTGACCACCCGTTCGAGTGTGCGAGTACGTGAACGCAAGCTTAGGGTAGATTGTCGATGACGTAGATTCTTCTCGGGTTGTTCTATTATCAAACCGTTTAGTGGCCATCTCAAACCCAATGATATCTGCCGCAAGTGGAGGACTCGCCTTCATCTTCATCATCAATCACGGCATCAATTTCGGAAAAAGCGGCACCTGGGAACAATTGGTTACAAACAGAAAGTCCAGGAGTTGATTGATTATACCTTTATCCCGTCTCCAAGGTGGCGGGATATACAGAGCATTATCATTGCCGGAAACAGGCCGATCAGGCTCCGCGAATCGAATAGATTGCTTTACCGTAGTCAGTTTTGGGTCCAGGGCATCATCAGCTGTCGAATGTCTCGATTCCTGAGAAGCTCTGATGCATGTGTCAGTATCTATCTTGCCATGTCATTCTGCTTTGTGGTGTCGAAACTAACCTCGATGACAGCTTTCCAGTCCCAACAGGATCGTTGGTCTCGGCCACATTATCCATCGCCTGGTTTGCAGATACATCGGTTGGAGCCACATCAACGGATGTGTTAAGATCCGCTTTGTGTTTGAGCTGTGCCTCTGAATCCTGGCCTGGAATGGTCTCCGGCTTCAACAGGTGCGGTGCTGCGTTTGACAAGTTAGCCATCGATCAGAGGACTGGATCACAGGCGGTCCTCACCTATCGCTTTGAGATGCTTTTCAAACCATCTGACCCGAAAAATGACGACAATGATGTTAATGAAGCCCAGGTTTCCCAGAACCGGAATTAGATAGATGTAAACTTGTTGGTAGGTCTTCAATTCTTTGACGTCGACCCTTGACACGATGCTATTTAGCAAACCAGAAAAGACGGAAGGTAAGCAAAGATTAGCACTCACGTATTCAGACCTGACTCCGTTGACGCGCTGGCGCCGAAGAAATAAGCATCGATAGCCTTGAGGTTGCCATAGGGGTAGATGATAACCAGGCTCAGAGTGCTGAGGGTGATAATCCACGCGTCTACCAGAAGCTGTCAGCACAAAAAATGTCGCACAGACTATGCACGTACAATGCAGGGAGAGGAAGTTTATCGGTAGCTTCCACATGGCGCAAGAATCGGGAACTTCTGTCAAGAGGAATTCGAGAGGCCCTGCGAAAATCAATATATAGCCCAGGCTTATCTAGGGTCAAAATAATTGCCGCATACAACATCTAGCGGGACCATACAACGCTTTGTGCGAGCGACTTGATGGGGCAAATCACGTTGTGGGTTGGGCGCCACTGCTTGCTGCTTGAGGGTCATCTTCCCTGCCGTTGTCAGTGCCACCTTGCAACTACGCTCCAGCCATCCTTTCACAGCCTAGCGCTTACCGGACCTCGAATTCACACCGAAATCTAAGCTCAGGCTGCAACCACGCCCTAGACAAGCTGCTAAAACTATGTATTGTGGCCATCGTGCTGATTTTATGCGGATAGTATTGGGCAGATGGCTTCTCGCCCAGAATATTTATTCCAGTTTTCACACGTATGCCATCGAAATGATCTCTTTCACTGATACCAGCACAGTCTGTTTGTGCCTGACTTTTTTGTTTAGCGATACCGTCCGAGGCCAGGCCTGATTCGTCGATACCAAACACGAAGTGCCCGCTCCGAAGCTCACTCATTATGGCCCAGGAAAATCCCGCATACTGTATATCAGAACAGCAGTTAATAATATAATAACTTTTTCCATTTCCCCGAGCATACGAGGAAACCTTTCATTTTATTTTAGGGGTGGAATCGAATAGGGATTTTTCCTATTCGTATTCGAAAAGATCTTTATATCGTCTTATTCGAATCTGAAAATATTTAGGGGGTTATCATTCGTATTCGATATTCGATTCGAAGTTCTTGGCAGAATTTCGATCGCATGAAATGGTTGGTTGATGGCCTAAATAAATCCCGCGCGACTTAGCGTAGTTTCGTCGCGTACTCGTTATTCTGAAATATTTTAGCGTTCTACTCTATCCTTACCTCGTGGTAGACTGCAGAATGATTTGCTATAGTCCCAGTTGATCGTGTCTCCACTCCCAGGGAAACTCTGATCACGGAAAGGGGCTAAGAGTCCATCTGAGGATCGAAAAATTCAATGCAAAAGATGTAACTGGCAAACGTCTGACTCTGCGAGGGCAATATCGACTTCTAACATGAAAATTTATCTTGCTAAGCATAGTGTTTTTCTCAACAATACCGATAATGCTGAGAATGGTAGTGAAATGATACAGCAGTCTATAAGTAGCCTCTTCCGGAAACAGGCAGAGACAGAAACGTCTCAAAGACTGGAACAAAACGTATTACGATAAACAGTTTTGGACAACATAGCTTTTACAGCAATTGAGTTATCAGCATTTGAGCACCTCCGGGCTGAATAAGTTCAGAAGTTACTATAACCTTATGGATGGGCAAGATGCCTATTACGTGGCCCAAGTCCTCGACCCACGATTCATGACATTATTGTTGGAAAAAGAGCTAGGGAAAGTCAGTGCACATAAGGTCATCAAGCATATAAAAGAATTACTTCACGAGCAATATCTGTCGCCTCGGGTAAACTTCACTATCACAAGTGGCCCAGACGAGCCAGCAGCAAGAACGATAGAAGCCTGAATTCTTCAGAGACTGCAGCCACCGAAACAACAACTCTCCGATATTGACAGGTATTTTGACGATGGAGCAGTGATAGCTCAGGATCCTGTAATACAGGACACGGAATGGTTATTTTCTTGGTGGAGGAATCACAGTCACGAGTACCCACGCGTTGCGGCTGCCGCCAGGGATTATTTAGCAATTCCAGCATCAGAGGTAGCAGTAGAGAGGCTCTTCAATAGTGGGAGGGACTTGTTAGGCTGTAGTGCAGGATAAGCAATCTTCTGCTTCATCATGCAAATGCAAAAATGACAGGTTTTATTAAGTGTGCGGTTAGTCAGTTATCAACTCAGACCCACCAGATCGCCACCCATGTCAACTTAATATTCCTTCATCGGTAGGTATGTACGCACGAGTGTTGAGGGTAGAGGCGACAGAACAGAAGTTCACTAGTGGATAGCTGACACTTCGATCTCAAGACCCGTTTCGCAAAGGCTCTAATCGACTAGCGACAATAGGCGAACAGATCATGGTGGTATCTTTTTCAAATTTACAAGCACCAGACAATTGTTTTGACATCTGAGGCTGATAATTTCAAGGCCGTAAATTTACATAGAATTTTGCATCATGATGATTTTCCAGTCAGACCTCTGTAAAAGACCAACTAGTTCCTGCAATAAGAAAAAAAGTGTAGATTCGAGGGAGCAAAAAGAAATTAGAAAATGCACATCCGATGGCAGACTTCGTATAGATTAACTATGCGGGTAGCCGAACTCGCGCGGAGTTACACCGAGGACCCCGAGGACCCCGCGTCGGATATTTTCCCGAGTTTCCCCCACGTTTTCCAATTCCCCCTCTCGTGCTGCTTTTCTTCTTCGCGACTTCTCCAACTCTCTCACAATAATCCGTTCAATCCTTGCTCAGTATGCCTTTCAACACTCCCATTCAAACTGCCCTGAAGGCCCGTTCAGCTGCGTTCGGGTTCTGGCTCACGTATGTCCCAATCGTCATGATGATTTCAGCTTATTGTCGTGCAGCTCTCAGAGCGTCATGATAGACAATTCCCTTGATCATAGAGCTGAATATTGTGATTTCAATAGGCTTCCTAGCGCCGCTATCGCTAAGACAATTATTCACGGCTCTTCTGGATCGTCAGCTAGATTCAGCTGGATCCTGGTTGATGCGGAGCATGGTCTCATTTCGGACAATCACTATTATGAGGTCAGTTCTCGAGGAAGGCGAAATTTGCTCTGAGAGATCCAGCAAGTCTGAACCAGTAGTTAACTAAATCATAGCTTAACAACGCCATTGGCTCCGAAGGCGTGAGCCCCATTATTCGAGTTCCCTGCGCCGAGGAGTGGATGATCAAGCGTGCTCTCGATGCAGGTGCCCACGGTATTATGACACCCATGTGCCACACAGAGGTATGTACTCCGAGCAAGAATGATTACTCTGGACCTCTATTTCTTTCCAACTCGGCAAGCAAGAAGCTGATGAGCCTTCTATTCCAATAGGCCGATGCTATCAATATTGCCAAGTGGACTCGGTATCCGCCCATCGGTACCCGTGGCTATGGTCCGATGTTTGCGCCTCACTCCTTCCCCGGCGTTGACCCCGGTGCTGATCACGACGACGGCGCGAACGACGGCTTGACCACCTTTGTCCAGATCGAGTCCCGATCCGGGGTTGAGAATGTCGAAAAGATTGCTGCCGTGGACGGGATCGATGTGCTTCTTATTGGCCCCTTTGATTTGGCCAAACAGCTGGGTGTGACTCGTTGCGGCGAGGAGCATGAGGCTGCTATTCAGCGGATCAAGAAGGCCGCCCATGCGGCTGGCAAGAAGGCTGCTATTTTCTGTACGTGTTTTTCGATCAAAAAATTGTTTTCCGATCAAACCACTAACACAAACACATTCTCTAGGCACTGGCGGTGCCGATGCCTACTCCCGCAGCCAAGAAGGATTTGATATGGTCTCTGTCAACACTGATGTTGGCGTTATTCGGTCAGCTATGCTGAACGAGTTGAAGGTTGCCAATGGGGAGAGCGCTCAAAGTGGACCCGGAGGTTATTAAACAATGCCACTGTTCAGTGGCAGTGATATAAATGACAGGATACGAATGTATATAGATACTCCATGGAGAAAAGCTTGAGCGAGACCTCCCATTATCCCCACGTAACGTCAAACGGCTCCTAGAAATTCAGACTGTGTAAGAATATGGTATTTAACTTCACGTGACATGGTGGAGGAATTCTATTCTCTGGTCTGAATTAAAAATTCGCCTTTGCATTCAAATCAGCACCAGCAATACACTCAATCTCAACATCATTCCCAACAGACAGTTCCTTCACACAAATACAAATCCTGGCCTGCGGTCGTATCAGAGAATCTTCTCACGATTCATATGGAGGAATGGCTTGCAGATGTAACTCACTGGTGGATCTTCAGGGAAGAAAGTTGTATAGATTTCATTCACAGCCGAAGTCAGTCATACTGGCCAAGAAGATATTTACTTTTGTAACATTTCCAAGTCCGATTACCGCTGCTTCTAGAATAGATTTTAGGCTTAAGAGTATTTGCCTCTTTATCTTCGGTTAGGATTCTGTAGATGCGACGCACTGCCAGGTAGACTCACAGTCCGAGATTGAATTGGACCCTGGATGATCTCTCCTGTATTAGAATGACACCCAATTTGACCCGAACAGAACACTAACCCGCCCATGCGAGTAGCCTGGGAGAGGAAAGGGGGTGGCGCTGGGGCCTCTGGAGTGGAAATGACAGCTCTACCAAGGAGTGTCATCTGAAAACGGGCGAAGTCTATGAGTTGAAATCCAAGAGTGGTTGAAAAAGGAGTAGGAATCTGATGTTGGTACGAAATAGTCTGAAGCGTCTTACAATTAATTAAATACTAAACTTCCTAGCCATGTTGACTAGACAGAGATTTAGCTGTCAAGTGGAAATTAGTAAGTGTGTGCAGCTACTAAGCGGTGGGGACAAAGGTCATCCACAGACCCTTATCTGACCCCTTTGACGTGCAAGAAAGAATACATGCCGACAAGGAAGAAAAAGATGAGATTGGTCAACTAAGAGCTTCTAGTACTCCTGGAAGAACGACAATATCCCGAATGCGTACTTTCTTGAGGAATTACCGGCATTCCGATTTGCCCTTGACAGTGCGTAGAGACAACGCCTTTAACTCTTGTTGTTCCAATCAATCTAAACATATTCTTGAGCAAAAATCCTGAGCATCAATTTCAATCAACCTTTACCCTACTATATATCCCACTATCTAGTTCCAGCCAGTACATACGACCACAGGGTGTAGAAAACAGGAATTCCCGTCCGCTCAGCCGTATTCAAGCTACCTAAATCCGTATAGTTAATGTTAAAGAGCCCTTAGACCGAATATTTTTCTAAAACAATATTTAGATCGGGTACCAACTAACGATAGGGGCACTAAAACTGTATATAATCACTAATTATTGCTAATATCACTAGTAATTATCAATAGTCGTCAGTAATTACTAGAAGTATAATGTTAATAATATATTATAAAGAAATTTAGGATCTATATTTAAGAGCAAGCTCGGAGTTTCTCAACTAAGAGAATTTATATCCTGCCCAGTAAGAAAACATAGAATACACCCTTCCGTATGGAGACTTAAACACCTTCTGACTTTGGAGGACAATACACCGTTGGAAGGCTTTCCCAAGATTGAAGCAGCTTCTCGATAATCACCAGTCGGCCAACAAGCCCATCGTTTTCAAAGATGACACCGAGGCGGCACACTACTTGATTTGTCACTTTAAGAATTGAACCACCATATGGAATATGACCTCCCCAGACCCAAAAGCCCTTCCCATCGACTAGAACATGAAAAGGCCGAGTGATGTGCTGCTGGACTGGTTGTGTACCAGTGTAAACTGGACAGATTTTCGACTTTCGTATGGCCGAGGTGACGAACAAAGCCGACCCAAAGGCAGATACCGACACGTTTCAGCCTCGTTCATAGATCTTCATGTCTACCTTCCCTAGACAGTTGCTTCGTAAGAGAGCCCTAAGGATTAAGAACAGATTATATAGGTAGTAGAGTAACGCCTAACTGCGTAGGTCTGTCTAATGTAAAATTAGGCAAGCTCCTGTGAACCCGAATCATCTCCCGACAAATCGCCTAAGACTAAGTACAAGAACACAACATTCAATCACAGCATAAAAGCTCCAACAGCAAATACCACACCGCCAAGCAAACCCTCAGCGGGCCCAAGCAACATTGCCGCATTCGAAGTCTCAGTTGCCGTCGCCGTCGCCGTCGCCGTCTGCGATCCCGCCGTAGAACGAGCCCCCGAACGCGTCGAACTCGAGGCAGTGGCAGTAGCCTTACTACTCGATCCATCGGTAGGAGTGGCCTCCGCTTTACTCGCCGCGGAGGAGACCCGCGCCGAGTAGTCGCTGGCCGTGAACCGCACCGTCGCGTAGCATGAATTGATGTCTTTCTGTGTCGTCCAATCCATATTTGAGTCGGAGGTCGTGCTAGCGGTCTCGTATAGGAGTGCCGAGTTGGTGAGGGCTTCTTTGTAGAGACGCATATCCTGGACGCAGCAGTAGGCGCCTTGTTCGTCGATGACCATCCCGCCGGGACAGCAGCGTTCTTGCTTGAAGGTGTTTGGGAGCCAGCCTGTGGGGCAGTTGTCTTCTGCGGCGGAGGCAGAGAGGGACAGGATGGTGGCTAGGAGGAGGGATTTGAGGAGGGTCATTTTGAGTAGTGGTGGTGGTGGTGATGGTGAAGGAATGGGAATTGGTGATTTTTGAACAGGTCTTCGGTGCGGTAGTTCTTGCCCCTTAATCCGGATAATTTGTCTTGATTTTTGGCTGTACCTGGACACTAGGACGTAAGGCTACTAGTGGATGGAACCCCAGGCTTTTTTGGCCCCTTGGCCCCCTTGGCTTGCCCGGCTAGATCGTAGGCAGATTAGTGCATTCCGACTCTCGTCGGGGATTGCCGACACCTGTCTCCACTCTAGATAATGAGTTCTGATCTGGAGTAAGCATTGACCATTCTTAATTCGAGTATTCAGTAGAAGATTTAAGTGCCTGAAATACCAGGATTTTTAAGCCGGTATGTACGATCTGCTGGTGTTCATTCAATTATATCCTTCCAACTCATAGTGATTGAAGTTACAAAACTTCAAATATATAAATAACAGTCTACGAAGCCCAATCCAACACCTTCCTAAAAGTCGCTAATATATACTACTATTAATTATGTGGTATATAGTTTATGCTGCTCTAATATTGACAATAGTTAAAATAGTACCCAGTGTGAAGTCGCAGGTTTCGATCCATGCTGCTATGTGGAATCCCTCGTAGGAGGTCGGGGCGAATAATTCAGTCGTAGACTCAGTGGCGTAAAGCAGCTAATATATAAACTGGATAGATTAATTTCAGTACCCAGAGTAATTTGAGACAGGTGGTGTATTGGAATATTTACAAGCTAAGCCGTATAAGCTCCTATCCCGTTGATTCCAAACCAACATATTCCTGTTCCTCCATTTAAGGCTTTTGAGCATCCAAAACGCCTTCAAATCCAAAAAAGCGAGTGTGCAGGTATCGTTAAAGCATGAGGATTTCCGTGTTCTTGCTGGTAGGACCACCCCAGCACCATTTTGCCAAGGTGATGATCAGATCCAAGTCCCGCTCGCGCATGTCCATAAGCGGTGTAATCCGCATGACAAGCAGTCCCATGTCAATGTATGCTTCGATGACTCGGACGTAGTGCTCCCCAATGGCTGAGATCAGTAGAACCTGCAAGAGCTATCAGTTTATAACGCTCATTCTGAGAAAAGGTGACTGGAAGCTTACGGGGGCAATGTCATGGGGTCGGAGCGAAGGGTCTCGCAAGCGCCCGTGCATGATCATAATTGCGGCATCAACCTCGCCGCGGCAAAGTTCATTATTCTACGGCTGGGCGAGTTCACTCCACATGAGAGCCACCATATGAGGGGCTCCAGTGTTCGCATCGTACCAAAATGATTGAATCTGCCACTGCGAGCCCAAAGTCACACAGCCCAAATCTTGAAAATTAAAATTTCCCCATCTGGGCAGCCAAGTATTAGATAGGTCAAGTATCCGAATGGTTAGGATGGCGGGGAAGCCCATGAGGACATTGCAAAGCGAGGTAGGTAAGTGTCTTCTTCTGGCATTTCGCAACGGCAGAGAAATCGGTTCAAACAGATGGCGAGGTGTTCGGCATTCTTGTTTGCACATCCGTCGAACTCCGGCCAATCATCAGCGTCTTCGGGGTACTCATACTCAGTTTCATCGATGGGATGCGGATAAGAGGTGAAGTAATAAGGAGAATTATTGGGGTCCAGAGACATTGCTGTACGATTGATTTTGACCTGATCCAGATGGGCGGGTAACAAACGATGATCATGTTCGCCAAGCTGCCCATAAATAGCATTCAGCGCCTGACGGCGAGTTTTCCTCTTGTTGTGAAATGCACAGGGGAAGTAGGGCAGAATGACACTGTATCGGCTATACGCACGTAGCCTACTAAGGAGCGAATGCCTTTTAGAACGATAGGGCTCTTAATTCTCTTGCATAACGATTGATCTCTTCTTCTATGGATAGATCAAGGGGTAAGTTCCTCAGCGGTTCGAACCCCGGGGTTCGAGTGTGCGGGCCAAGCCGCTAGATCACGTAATCCCATGGATTCGTATCAGCAATGAAGACCATTTGTATTCTGGACATTAGCAACTAAGTAGCTTTCTATTGAGACTTTTGCGAATGAGTCTATTCTGGACATACGATACGGTTTCGAGGTCCTCGCTGTTGGCCATACAAACCGATACCCCGGATTAGCCGGGTAAGTACCTCATATAAAGTCCTGTCAACCTGAGAAAGTCCTAGATATTGCACTTTGAGCATAACTAAGTGTTATAACATCTTTTTGTGGCTTAATAGGCATCTCTACCATCAACAAGTCCATATCAAGCAGCTCTCTCCGAAAAAGGGCCAGTGATTGGCCTGTTGAGCTCCGAGTGGAGTCAGGAGAGGACGCTACGGCTATGGGATCCGACGTTGTGCCTTGGCAACGAGGCGTCCGGCATAGATGGGAGATCGGCAACAATTCAAAACAATCCCAATTCTCAACTGCGGTAGGCATTGTTTCATTACCAAAGTTCCAAATAACAATGTTATGCCCACCTGAAATGCCTGCCAGAGACGCGTTATTTGGAGAGAAAGCCATTTATCTCTGTAGTAAGGGCCCGGAGCAAGCATGGTCTATTTTACCTGTAGCGATGCCATACACTCGAAAAATGCCATCGCATCTTTGGCATGCAACCTTCAGGCTATCTGGCGAAAATGCAACTGGAGCAACGAACTGGCCTTCAATGACCCGATCAACGCGTCTTTTGACAATATCCAACACCTCTAGGCGATCGTGGGAAAGCACAGCCAGACATCTACTGTCTGGCGAGAAAGCCGTAGAACTGTCGGGTTTTCCTGTCAGTCTTTGCTCGACTGCCCCGGTGGCGGTGTTTCGAATTTCAAGCATTTCCGAAAACTGAATTAGGACTTTCTGACCATCTGGTGACACAGTAACTTCATCCAGATAACCACCTTTGCCAGCATGGGACTTCAAAGGCCCTGATGATTGCGTCACTCCTGACAAGCTATGGAGATCCCATACTTGGACTGTGCCACTGAAATCCCCGAAAGCAACTTTGCGACCATCAGGAGAGAAATTAAATGTTTGCATTCTAGCATCAAGACTCTCCAGTCGATGAGTTACCTGCTCAGTAGCCAGGTCCCATATGTCTATGGTTCCATCGATTGTACTCACTGCCAGCTTGGTGCAGTCGGGCGAGAAACCTAGAGCACAGCTGGGCTTTAATAACGGTTTCAAGAGATGCTGTCCCTCATCAAGATCCCATATCAGTATCAGACCATCTTCTTTTTCGCTGACCACTTTCTTGGAGTCCGGGGAGAATTCGGGAACAAAGAACGACGGGGATTCGTTCCAGGAAAACAATTCTTCTGCATCACATCCTTCAACATCACAACCCTCAACATCACATAGCTCCATATCACAGGAAGAGATACTCCAGACAATGCCCTTGGTCTTTGAAAGCGTAATCATAATTTCTCCGTTAGGTGAAAAAACTATCACTTTAGAGGTTGTTGTGTCGAACGTAAAAGATATGCTGCTTGGTGTGGCACTCAACCTTGTACTCCAGGTACCCTGTCAGAAGATTGAATTTCTTGACCGTGTTACCTCTGCCCATTGACATTATAGCCCTGCCATCGGGGGAGAACTGTAAGGATTTAATTTCTTCGTCTCAGTCTTCATGGCCCAGTATCAGTAGCTCCAATCCTCCAGTAGCAAGGTTTCAGATTGATATTTCTCCTCGGGCCAAGGTTCCAGTAGCAGCAACCCTTGTAGAATCAGGAGACAACGTTATGCAGTTTGCGTCACCAGATTTGAATATGCGCTCTGCTTGACCCCAGCTCTCATTACCATTGGAAACCATGTGTATCGACTTGGGGGATTGATCATAATACTGCTTTCGGAGCACACTAGATGTTGGTGAGGAAAGGATTGAAAAGTAATACACTTGGAGTGGAGCATCCGCAATGATAGCACTAACGTAATCGGTAAGCGAGTCGGCCATCCCAACAAGAATTACCGCTCCTTTAAAAATAAGACTATTCAAACTTCCATATCACTATCAAAAATGCCTAAATCATCAAAAATTTCGGTGGAACAAGAGGGAAGACTCTCCTTAGCAGTTGATGCTATTCAGAAGTGTCAAATCAAGTCAATTCGTGAAGCAGCTCGTGTTTTTCAAGTTCTTCGCTCAACACTTCAAGATCGCTTAAATGGTATTACTTTTCGCAAGGAAACACGCGTTAATTCGCATAAATTGACTCCGTTGGAAGAGGAATCACTTGATAAATGGATTATCTCGTTGGATCAACGCGGCGCGCCGCCGAGACAGTTCCAGGACAGTAATATGGCGTCAATCTTGATCCGAAGCGTTCTCAAGATGTAACAGCCCTTGTCGGAGAGAAATGGGTATATAACTTCATTTCCCGGCATAATTCCTTTAAAAGTCAGTTTTCGCGTCAGATTAGCTATAAACGGGCGAATTGTAAGGATCCTAAGGTTATACAAGCCTGGTTTCAACGCTTACAAGCCGCTATCGCCATGTACGGGATTGCTGATGAAGATATCTACAATTTTGATGAAACAGGCTTCGCCATGGGCCTGGTAGCCACTGCTAAGGTAGTGGCATGTTCATCCTGTGAGGAAAGGCCCTTTCTTATACAGCCTGGAAATCGGGAATGGATAACTTCAATTGAGTGTATTAATGCCGCTGGATGGGTGTTACCGGCATACTTGGTAGGTAAAGACTTATATACAAGCCTGGTTTGAAGGCAATATACCTTTATGGCATATCAATATATCGCCAAATGGATGGACTAACCGGGTTGATCAACGGCATATTTCAAAACAGAGAGACAGAAAGCAAGCCGGGCTTAGTTTTGTCTCTAAAACATAGAAATAAACAAAAACAAAAAAACGTACAACAGCAGGGATTCGCTGGTGGTCACCCACCCAACTACTAACCTGCCGGCGTGTGGCTTAAGTACGGCTGAGCGGACGGGAAGCCCTGTTCTCCACACCCTGTGGTCGTACGTACTAGAAACAAATGAGCATTTGCTATATCCTACTATTTTCTTTTGGATCTGCATAACCAGATCCTCTAGATTATTAGTGTGGATGGAATTGACCTCCACATGCTTCCATCCAAGGCGTCCACTCTTGCTGTTTCATTGAATAGCGGTAGACTCTATCAGAGATGCAGATTTATTAAAAATCGGTAAACACTGGCTCAAGGAACACTTTATTCCTTATATTAAGAACCGGAGAACAGGCCAATATAGCCTCTTACTTCTTGACGGACATGATTCCCATTTGATACCTCAATTTGATAATATACGTTATCAATATGATATTATACCGATCTGCATGCCCGCTAATTCCTGTCATCTCTATCAACCGTTGGATATAGCCTGCTTTTCACCATTTAAAAGGGCCTACAGCAATCTTATTGAAAGGCTTGTGTGAATAGGATATCATCATATCGATAAAGTTGACTTTCTTGATATCTATTTAGAAGCCCACGTCCAAGCCTTCAAGAAGGCCAATATCCAGAGTGCTTTCAAAGCCTCCGGAATTGTTCCTTTTGACCCGACAAAGGTTCTGGATAACCTCATCTTCTACAGAGAGGAGAGCCGGCGAAACAGCCAATAAACTACTTCAACTATTACTAAAATGCCTTTAAATTTGAAGCAATTCAAGAAACATAAGTCAATAATCTCTCAGTTACTTTAACAAGCAGATTCTCCGGCTTCATCCATGCAAACAGAGTTATCATACATCTTTAAGGGAGCAGAGATAGCCTTAAATCGGGCGGTTCTCTTAGAGCATAAAAACCTTCAACTTCGTGAGACTGTTAAACTACGAAAAAGAACGCAGCAGCGCAATCAACACCAGCTGCATGGTCTGGATAGCTTCACAATTCAGGAAGCCTGTGAGGCCTTCGCCAACGCGTAGGCTGCGGAGGAAGCAGCTGGTGATACAGGACCTCTGGATAGTCAGCCACGTCGGCGGGCGCCGCCGCGGTATAGTCGGTGTCATATTGTTGGAAATATACGTACAAGATGCCCGAATCAAACTATCTAATCCCGGGCTTCTAAACAGTTTAATTGAGATATGAAAAGCTTCATTTTTGGTGTAAGAATCATATAGGTATATACGCTGGCCCGCCAAGCCGGCCAAGTGGCCGACTCGCTTACCGATTAGTTAGTTATGTTATGATGGATGACAAATCTTCGTGCATTAACAATGTAATAATATAACTCAGAATCATTCACATCCTGTTAGGCAATTTAGTATATTCACATAAATATGGTATGAAGAAACTCACGGTAGTGTGAGTCTCTGGGTTGGTTAATGTGGGGATCGCATGCGCCATCTTCCTTGCAAGGCTTAGAGCTTCTAGCCAGTGAAGAAAGCTCCCTTTGAAGAATGCCAGAAGTTTCGAGGCTTCGTTGGGCTGAACAGATTTTGTAGAACAGTTTTGCTCGCCCCAGTACTGGCACGCATACTGGACTGCTTGGGGAAGTTGCTTGTCGATGGTCTCATGTGAGAGCTCACATGGTGTCGCTGCGGGGTGTGGAAATTTGCAGATGTTTCTCTGCAGAACTCTCGGAAGAATGTCCATGCACAGGTTAAACAACTTCTTGTTTGCTTGCTGTTCATCAATAAATAGAGTCTCGTCTGTGCATCGTGTCTTATCAACCAGAAAGTCACGGAAGGAAAGGTGGAACAGCATGACTGGTGAGTTGTTCCTCTGGCACAACAAGCACTGAGCGCAAGTCTTCGAGCATGGCCCTGATGTTCTGGGAGGAAGTCTGAAGCAATACCTCTAGACCAAACAGTGGCAAACTTTCTCTCATGGTGATTGTGGATCCGACTACCAGCTGAAAGAGGACAGTGAGATATTTTCTATCAAAGCTGTCGCTAATTGCCTGTTTTAAGATCTCTCGGTACATTTCGTCAATCTACTTACCAGGAGAAAGAAACATCCTCTTTAGAATTTAGCAAGGTAGACATGCTGTTCTGGACGAATCTTGTAGCCTCGAGGTATCGACAGGCTGTCGCAGCCGCGATGAATATTGGCCCAATTCTTTCAATCAATTTCTCTTCCTGCTCATGCTCAGGCCAATTTTCAAGATGATTTTTCGTCGCGATATCGGGAAATCTGTCCTTCATGAAATTCCTGATGTCTCGTTCTGTGGTTTTATCTCCAACAGAATCAATTGTTAGGTTATTATATCGCATTGAAGGGATTTCCGTAAACCCTTCAATTAAGTGCTGCCCAGGTCGACTAGTAACAAAATTCGTAGTTTGATTGGTTCCAGTTCATCCGCAGTCGACAGAACCCTTATAAGATCCCGAACGTACTCATCCCAAGACCCCTGAATGCCATCCGGTGCATCGATGATAATTACCAATTTATATGAACCAGGGGTGCTGGTTCTCAGTGCAGACAGAGGTTGAAGTATAGGATTTCTCCATTGCGTATCCAGTGACTGCTGTACTACACCAGGAATGCTCTGGATGGAATCTTTCAACCTAGCGAAAGCCGGGAAGCGCACGAACCAACTGATAGGCAATAGTTGGGAATAACTTGCTCGGCTCTGCTCGGCCTGCATAGCCTCTCACGAAGAAAAAGCTAGCACCAAGCCGTCGCTCGTGATCAAACATTCTAGCCACAGTGCGAGCAATGGTAGACTTGCCGGTGCCTGCCATGCCCCTAAGCCAAAATATGCACTTATCATCACCGCCCTCTCCCCATTGCCGAATTGTACTAAGAATCTCTTTTCTAGTATCTCCGTGGCAGTATGAAGGGGGGTTTCTCTTCATATTATCAGTATTGAACGCGACGTAGTCGACTTTGGGCACCTCCTTGAGCACAGCGTCTTCGGTGAGAAGCTATAATCGAAAATTAATCTTAAGTTTCGCTCGAATGGTATTGTTCCCTACCCTTATACCCTCTCGAATTTCACCAGTCTCTTCCAATATGGAATTTGCACTTTTCTGGAGACTGTATGTCATTTTTTGAATGCTTGTCGCTGTTCCCTAGTCTAGCATCTTTAGATCCGCTTCGATACTACCTTCCGTCTCCTCAATGCCCTAGTACATGTCTTTCCAGTTGTCTATTTGCATCAAGTTCCTGAGTAGGTGTTTGAAACTAGGACGAGAACACTGGTGCACTAAGAACATATGGTATTTCAGGATTTGCAAATACAAGTTAATGATTTTCTCTTTTATCTGTGCAAGTAGTCTTTGTTCAGGTGGTGAGAAGGGGGGTTCCTTTCATACCGTCATACGTATTAGCATCTATTCTTCTTGATTCCCTATCGCACATTATTGCCTTGCATTAGCCCCAGAGACCAAGCGCGTTGCTTCCACAACTCGACAGCGGACCAGAATTTCAGAAATTTTGTTCAACCCATCTTTTGCATTATCAGACTGTTTTAGTGCATTGTCCAGCAACTAAAGTAGAAGGTTAGCACCCGAAAAAGAAATTTCTCGAGATTTACCCACAGGAAAAATGCCTTCTACACAGCCCCATGCCAATTCTGCATGAGGCTCTGCACTGAAAATTGCTGTAATTGTATCCTTGAACATTTTAATCTTGCTGAATATTTCGAGTACCTCGTCTCTAACAACTCTGTCGTTGACTATTAGTCTTTTACCATGTATCGCATCCAGTTTGTGTGTAACAATGTCCTGAAGCTTCTTGAGATGATCTTCACTGCCGGGTTCTTCGGGGTCTTCCTAGTTCGAATGGATGGATTTACTAATATCAGCTTCCAACAGAACTTTGATGAAATGGTCTAGAGCCTTCTTTCCATTCATTTCCTGCTCGACTTGCTGCCAAGCTTTCTCCCAGAATCCGTTGCTGAATGTGTTGTCGTTCATCCTCTTGCTTAACTCTTTCTGCTCTTCGGCACTCGATGGCACATTGTCATCCATCTGCTCAGTCCCTTGATTCAGATCCTTGCGTTCGACGTGTGGACCACAAGAAACATCGGATCTGCCTGAGAGACATTGATCTTGACCAGAAAATTCACCGGCATGGGGGCTGGTTCGAAGTTCCTCTCTGGAAGCACACTTGACTAGTAGTTGGGATGTGGCAGATGAAGGTGTTGATGGCCGCGCGGGGTTAAAAGCAGTTGGGTGGAAACCGGAAAGTACGCGCCTGGAAAAAGATTCTCTGATCCCTGTTCATTTCCGATCAGTCATACCAGCTGCCTAGCTTGATGCTGAATTACCTACGATCAATCGAGTGACACGTCAACTGTTGGAAATTTCTGGAATTGATTCTATCCAGTGCCATCAATGTTCTACTTTACCTACTCTCGCTCTTCTCTGTTACGTCACCTACTGCACTCAGGTCTTACCTGTTCACCTCTCGATAATCTATCTTCTATACTTTCATCTCTGGCTTTTTGGTTTTAACACATTTTAAGCTCTAGAAAAATTGAAGTTATGATAGTATGATCCATACATTTTGATCTTGTGAGCGCGTTTGGATGCCTCAGGCATCACATAGGTATGCAGCAGCTGTTTGCCATGACAGCCACAACAGCGACATGGAGGTCTGCACCTCATCTGCCCCTCCATCATCTCTATGTAATTTGCTTTGATCAACCTCACTTTTCTCAACAATCTCTTGGGGGAAATATTATCATATTTAGAGTTCAGTTGGGTATCTGTTTTATGTTACAGAATACCAATGAAAATTTTGTGTTAACCCCCGAAAAAGCAAACTCACAAGATAATTTCAACACTTTCTATTGTCTATTGCCTTCCTGTGGTGCGCTTAGGTTACCAGCCTAGCAAGGATCTGGGTCTATTGATTCTCAATTGGAATCAATACTCAATTTAGAAATCTGTCGATCCATACCACCTAATTCAATCTAACACTCAACTCCTTCCCATCCAGCCACTTCTCCAGATTCTCCGCAGCTTCCTTATACCAGCCACGGATCTGCTCATCCAAGTATCCCGTGTGCGGTGTCAAAAGTACCTGGCTTCTACCATATTCTCCCCAGCTCGTTGTCCTCCAAGGACTGTCCTTCGGCAACGGCTCCGTCTCAAACACATCGAGCGCGGCGCCCCAAATCCCACCTCCACTCAGAGTCTCCAATAACGCATCCTGGTCAATCAACGGACCCCGAGACGTATTCACCAACAACGCGCTCTTCTTCATCCCCTTGAGTTCCTCGACCCCGACAATCCCCCGACTCCGTTCAGACAAAACGCTATGCAAGCTAACCACGTCGACAGCCGCGAAGAACTCTGCCTTAGTCGCAGACACCTTGATGCTTCCGGCCACCAGACCCGCCTCACGAGCTACCTCATCTGCCTTCTCCTGCGTCAAGTTCGTCGACCAAGCAATAACTTGCATTCCGAACCCTTGCGCCGCGATCCTCGCCACCCCCGTTCCCAACTTCCCTAACCCCAACACGCCCAGCGTCTTGCCCGCCAGCGAAATCCCTAGCTCTGACCCCTGCCACTCCCCGCGCTTAATGGCCGCATCGTCGCGCGCTACGCCCCGCGCCAACGCTAATATAAGAGCCCAGGTATGTTGCACCGTCGAGTGCACGCCGACAGGGCGCGCGGAAGTCCCGGCGACTGGGATCCCTCGTGATGCGGCATACGTCGCGTCGAGGGCTAGATTGCGGCTTCCGGTCGTGAGGAGGAGCTTCAGGTTCGGGAGGCGGGAGAGCGTGGATGATGAGAATGGGGTGCGTTCGCGCATGGTCATGATGATGTCGTAGGGCTGGAGGCGTGCGATCAGTGCTTCATGCTGCAAGGGGTCGTGGGGGTTCAGCGTGTCGGGGTAATAGGATATGGTGGTTAGGCGCGGGCGCAGCGGGTCGAAATATGCTGGGGAGATGGATTGGTAGTCGTCAAGGATGGCGAGCTTCATTTTGATGGGTTTGGTTTCGGGATATAAAGGTTGTGGTTTTGAGGGTATTGAGGGCGGTTGAATGTGAATGCAATTCGGGATGAGGGTGCACGAAGGAAATGAGGGGATCGTTGATGATCTTGCGTCACCTCGGTGGGAGGGGATGAGGATATATCCGGGTATTATTAATAGCTATCCCCGCTCCGGATTCGGATCTGATAATGCACGATAAAGCGGATGGCGGAACCAACCTTCCTTCTGAGCCGCTTCTGCCCCAATATTCACTGCATCTCATAGACCTCGATTGCAGGGTATCTTCTATATTGCTGCCGCCGACCGGGGTTGCGGGATTGCGTAGTAAGCAATGGTGGATGAACTGGCGAAGAAGATGAGGAAGAGCGGAGACACACCATACTATAGATGTACACCGTTCAGACCAGACATAACACAATTCACGTGGGAAGATTAAACCCTCCGGGCATCATCTGCCGAAAGACCCCTGTCGGATCGAGCTCCCGGCTGACCCGCCGCAACATCTCCACGCTCTTGGGACCGTAACTAGCGATCGGATTTTGCCACTGCGCTGCGTAATTCAGATACACAAACGGATGGTATGCCTCCAAAGCATGCGCGTCGGCTTCAATTCCCGCGAATAGCGTCCGCGCTGCTTCCTCCACTAAGGTGTCATCCGCTGTATCGTCCCAGGTGGCGCTCAGCACGGTCACCACCAGTGATCCCTCGTAGTTCGATAGCCCCATCGCGTTGCTGTCTGGAGCCCGCGCGTAGATAGCGGGAGGTAACGGCTCGAGGGAGATCGACCAGACGATGCCCGGCACCTCTTGCACGGCTGCTAGACTGGCATTCCATCGTATATAGGTCGCATTCAACATAGGCACGGTGGGGTTATGTGTAGTCACTACACTCAATTGCCTGTCATTCTCCAAATGAGCATTGACAAGCTACAATGTATCGGATGGGAGGGAGGAGGATCCTTACCTTTGTCCATTGGGTGAAAATGAACCCTGTTCAATCGCCACGTCGTGTAAAGGGGCTATACGCACCGTGCTAGATATATAAGGAATCTCAAAGAACGCATCATACATGGGCGGGTGGTCTTCTTCGTCCTTCAGCTCCCCTGTATACACGATGCTGTTCACCACTGCAGAGCCCTGGCCACCCGCAAATGCAAAACTGGTGATCAACGAGGTATTCTCATCGTAATGGCGCTGAGCCACCGGGTCGCTCAACTCCACAAACGCACGCATCTGCGCATCCACGGTATCTATCGTATGGCGGACGCTGCCGCCGTAGATCGGACCCTGCGGGAAGGCCCGCAGATCAAAGCCCGTCACCACCCCGAACTTGGACCCGCCCCCGCGCAGAGCGGCCAGCTCCCCCAAATGCTGTACCTCATTCAGGTGCAAAATCGTTCCATTGGCCAGGACGACCTCCGCGCCGACCACATTGTCGCATGTCCAACCATAGCGTGGCGAGAAGTACGAAATGCCGCCTCCGAGTGTCAAACCGCCGACCCCGATCTGGGCAGCGCGGCCACCAGCCACCGCGAGGCCCGCCGGATCGAGCTGGCCGTATACGTCCCCCCAGGTGGCTCCAGCCCCGATGTAGACAGTGTGGGAGGCATCGTTCTCGGGCGGATTCTGGACTCGGATATTGCTCAGGGCGCGAAGGTCGATGGTGACGCCGTGTTGGATGTTGGAGGCTCCTCCGAAGAAGTTGTGGCCGCCGGAGCGGATGGCGAAGTGGCAGCCATCTTGCTGGTCTTCAGGCAGGAAGGCGGCAGTTGCGACTAAACTTGTGATGACGCTGGAGACATCCTCTGCCGAATCTGGGAACACGACGCACAACGGGTGCAGATCGGTGTTTTGTTGGGCGAAATAAGATTGCTGAGATGATTGGTACGGAGTCGTGCCGGGTAAGAAGACTTTGCTGCTCCCCAGGATTGAGGTCAGGGCGAGGCACTGGGGATGCTGTAGATTAGTGTTCGTGTCTGTATGCAGGCAAACGGTGAAGGGTCAGGACGCACACAGGTACCCAGCGAGGAGTTGCTAGTCATGGTGGGATTGCTAAGTGGTAGACAAGTCTATCAAGGGATGCAGAGTCCGCCGAGCATTTGAATCGGTCCTGGAGCTGCTGCTATCTTGGGTGGTACCTCCTTCCGCGATGAGAAGTCGTAACCCAGCGACGCCCACGTCAGTGATTATGCTGGAAGTCTAGCGCAATACCAGTGCGTAACCTGACCGGGGCCAATGTCCAGGATAGGGTGAGTTTTATGATGTATCAAGTACCAATGAAATTGTCCCCTCTTCTTGCCATGGATATGGCACATTCACATTGTTCTTTCGTAAAATCCGACGAAACACGAGCTTGGTGTGTTGAAGCAAAGGAATTCTAAAGTTTTCTTCACGCTTTGAGCAGGAAGAGGAATGAGTCGCTCTGACTTTTTAGCAGGGCCCGTGAGAAACGAAAATCAAAAAAAAAAAAAAAAAAAAAAAAAAAAAAAAAAAAAAAAAAAAAATTTTTTTAAAAAAAAAAAAAAAAAAAAAAAATAAAAAAAAAAAAAAAAAAAATTAATATAAAAAAAAAAAAAAAAAAAAAAAAAAAAAAAAAAAAAAAATATAAATAAAAA